CGCCAGATCTAGGCTTTCCAGATGCCTGTGAAACTCCTCGAGGTTATCGAAAGAATTGATGACGTATAGGCTGACGAGATGATGCAGAGTTCGGAGTGGTGGACGAGTAGCGGGCTGCGAATATTGCGAGGTGCTGTCGCTCGGTCCATAGAAATGCTCATCGTGCTCTTGTACGAACGTTCGCAGGGACTCAGAGTTTTCGCCGCTCCTCCCTCTGAGAAAGGATGGGACAAGACACTCAGTCTGATGTACATGTGCTGCGTGTAGAGAGTAGATACTCGCCTCATACTTCTGTGATAGCGAATGAGAATCGGGGCGTCCACACTGACGACCATGAAAAACGGCCTGGTTGAGAATTTTTCCAGTAGAGACTGGCTCCTGAGATCCACGGTCACGAAATCGGATCTCCAGTTCTTGGTGACGTAGTCCAGCATTTCCGTATGGCTGGAAAAGGTCAAATGATCCTCAATCGTGCTGCTTTCACTCGGTGGAACGTCTGATATGGCAGGGAATGACGACGCCATGGGCGAATTCATCATGAGGAAGGACGTCGGACGGTAATTGCGCGTATTGGAAGGCGAATCTACCTGCAAAAAGTTCGCATCGTCCAAACTCTGTACAGAAGACGCGTTCGACGATTCGGGACCATGATAATATGGCGAATGTCCGACATCCTGACCGATACGGGGTCCAGTTCACTTTCAGATGTGCTGTTATATGCGAGGGTGCTCACACTACTGTCTCTCTCGACCAGGCGAAGTACATTGAAGCCTTTGAAGCTGAGGAGATACTCTTGAACCGTTGACTTGCCAGACAGACGGGTACCGACGATTGCAATGAACATCTGTCCTTGTAAAGCTTAGGTTATGCTGTTGACGTCGTCAGCTTCTGTCAGGGCTGAATTCATGCACCGACTGTGCGGGCGGTTCCGGGAAGATCTAAGTTTGTGCTTAATGGCGCTCGATTGACGGTATACTGTGCAGATACCGTAACGGGACATGAAGTTCAGGAGGGAGAATAGATACACGTTCGACTAGATAGTAGCAAAGTATTAATGCGATTCATGTCACAATAAGCCAGGGATCTAGGGGAGTAAAAAATTAGGGACATGTCGTAAAGCTGTTATGAGGATAATCAGACAGATCGGTTCCACTTGCTCAAGTACTTGACATGTGCGCTGCCAGGGACGCCATTGTTATACTGCAGTCACAGCTAGCGCGTACCACTGAAATGGTGATTAGTTCACGGAAAAACAGTTATTTCCGCGCAATGTCCGCCTGACATATGTAATATATCAAACCACAGGGTCACGGGACACTGAATAGGACTTGTGCGAGCGAACAGTCCAAATCTTAATGCTATTCCCAGACGCCTTGATGAAAGTGGGGAACGAAGAGTTCAAGGCACTGCTATTACAACCCTCCTCGGAGCCTTGGCAGCCTTTGCCTGCTTTCTCCGCTTCGCCTCAACCCTGCCTTTCGTTCTAAGCTCCTTGGCGGCGCGCATGTCTTTGGGAGCGGTGGTCTTCAGCTGTTTAATATGTGTCGGGACCAACTCCGTGCGCGCATTCGGGGTTGGATGTAACCAAGGAGCAGTGAGAATAGGCACAGACTCCAGCAAGTACTCGAGACTCGAGAACTGTGGCGCAGAAGCCTGAGGACCAATAATGCATGAACTACAGTCTCAAAAAGGAGGACAAGTTTCACCGTACGTCGATTGCAATAGTCGCAACACGTTTGAGGCCTATCGCTGCTGCTAACGTTTGCTCCGCACCCTTTGCCAATGGCACGAGCCATGTTTTGTGCCGATCACCCGAGCTCTCCGCGGAATTGCACGCCGCAACCAAGTTGGGCAGATGGCCGACCAAGATTGGCGGATTAATGTCCGCGAGGCAGACTACAACCAGTCTCGAGGTTGGCATGTGGACGCTGGGTGAGTCGGATTGCTCCGATGACATATCTCGCCTCCGAAACTTCGCTATGTGCTCCAAGGCTTTGGTGACCTCATTTATACCGATGGTGAGATGGTCGAGAATGATCGGTGGCTGGGTCGCGCCATCTGCTGATATTGTGGGAGTGTCGGACTGGCTTGTCGTGTCAACATGCATGCCGGCACAAGAGCTTTCCTGCTCTTCTAATCTGTATTTCTTCTTTACCACTTCCGCTGTGTGCTCTCCTTTCTTCCGCTTCCTGCTTGTTGACTGCGTCTTGGCGTGCATTTCTGCCACGCCGTCCAGAATGGAGACAATCAGCGCCAGAATAGCATTCTGGATGTTTTCAGGAATATTTGGCCTTCATTGAGTGTTAATGCGAGGGCAGCATAGAGGGTGACGTGAGACGTACCACCGGACTTGGAGTGGATTATCAAGAACACTCTTGTAGACGATCTTGCGTTCGACGTTGTCTCTGGCTCTATTGGACTTGTTCGTGTGCTTTTTCGCGTGTCCGTCTGTCATCCTTCCCCTGTCTAGCCCGCAAGAAGTCGTTTACCTCTTTGACTAGTCCGGCGATTCGAGCGTGGTCCTCCGAGATAATTAGGCGCTGAAACCGGTCTAAACAGCTGAACGCCACCATGCCGTCGTCCAAATAACGGCCAAATCATCCGAAAAGTACGCTTTCCCACAGCTACTCATCTCCTCATCCTTCAACCGGTGCTGTGCCGGGCCATGAGGCTTGATCATCGCATGGAACCCCATAGTAAACCTGTCGGAAATCGGTCCTGTCAACCATCATACACGGAGTCTATTCAACCCTAGTTGAGCATTCGCTGTCAAGGTCTCCATCCAGGTTCACCAGCTTTTACACTCGTATCACGTCGGATGCTGATGCACCCGGATAAAGGAGTTCCTGTCAGATGTACTAGGGTATTTCCGTCCTGATGACACGCCGCGTGCTGCCAAACGCGGCGCCACCACATCCAACATACGCGATACGGACGCACTCTCAAAAAAACGTTTCATGTATGTCGCGGTCGGTACCTCTCCTTGGCTGAATCACCCGACTTGGTAAGATGTCTAATTATACGGAACTGCGCTTTTGACTCGATTCGCGCCCATAACGGGTAAGCTGACTCCGGCTGCTGACTCCCATCGGTACCATGGGCCCTGCTTCCTGTATGCTAGGTTACTTATGTCATGCAATTGCTTACCTAGGCGCATCTGATGATTCACTACTGGCGAATGATGAGCGGGAATACGCCAATTCATCTATTCACACGGCTATAATCGGACGCAGAGCTTTGGGCGCTTGTGAGTGTTTTGTCTCTACTCTTTTGCAGCAGAGGCGCCACGCCGAACGGACAGTTTCTTAGCCCGGCACAGCAGTCCTTGTCCTTGGTTCTCAAATTTCAGAAAGCTGTATGGCGTCACACTTGCGGAGTGCTCGGGATACCCAGCCTTCACGAGTCTATGATCCGAGAAAACCTACCCTTGGTCAATAATGCGCCATTCGTTCATACACTGAAGGCACAACTGTCGGAGATGTCAAACTCCGTACGCATATCATATCATAAGAGGCGGGTGACAATCGAGTCATTTCGACGAATCAGGTGAGATGACGGCGAGGATAATTTGTTCGCGGTGACCTACTAGGCTTATAAGCTGTCATCGCACGCCAAGTGAGATTCAGACAGTCCAACATACCCTCTCTCCCCTACAGCTGCTCTGCATTCCCTCATCAGCTATCTGCCATGCCTTCTGTAGGAATCGACTTTAGTGTTGACCTGTACACCTCTGCAGCAGACCTTCCCTCGCTCGTTTGGGAGACTTTCCAGAGTCGCCCAAGCGACTCCAACATAATATTTCCGCACGCCGAGAAGTGTAGGGAGCAGGAGTGTCAAGGCGGGTTATCAAGCGGTATATGGATTACCTGTACTTCCTCGAAGAGGCTCGATGTACCTACCCTCGACTTCGTCCTCAGTTGCACTCGAGGTCCACTGGGACACTATCCTGTCTTCATATTCACCACTCTCCCGCTTCACGACCACGATCACGAGTATGCCCATCGCTGTCTTCGCTCGATTGTTCGTGTCCTCGCCCAGAATGTCAGGCTTGAACGCGTATTCTCCGTGTTTGCTCCCGAGCGAGTCACCCGCGCTTTCGCTTCTATGTGGACCGAACACACCGGAATCGGTCTAGACCATGATCCTGTCTATTACGCGGCAAAATTCTCTTGCTGCACAGCGCGGTCCTTCCG